ATATTAGTGATCCCCCGCTACTTTGCGGTTCGTTTATCGCGGGTTCAGTGCATCGCGGATTTTTTCAGACATATACATGGAGTACAGTATATGCTGCTCTATGTGACTTGCTGTTTTGCAGCTTCTCGTGGACCGTTTGCGGACTTATATATATATATATATATATATATAAAAAATAAAAACAGGATACAATGATTTTCAAAATCATACTTAAAGTTCAAATTGATGAGCTTTGTGGTTTTTAGCAACATGTTAAAAAAAGCTGGGATAGAGTCCTGTTTACTAATGGGTTACATCACCTTTTCAGAGCATTCAATTAATGTTTGAGAACTGATTAAACAAATTGTTGAAGCTTTGGAGGTGGAATTCTTTCCCAGTCTTGCTTGATGTACAGGTTCAGCTGTTCAACAGTTCGAGGTCTCCGTTGTCGTATTTTATGCTTCATAATGAGCCACATAGTTTTAATGGGAGACAGGTCTCGACAGCATGCAGGTCAGGCTAGTATCTGTATGAATTCCCGATGTACTCTTTTACTATTTAGCCACGGTGTTGTATCATGTGCAGAATATAGTTTGGCACTGTCTTGCTGAAATAAGCAGGGGCATCCATGAAAAAGACGTTGCTTGGATGGCAACATGTTTCTACAAACCTGTATGTACCTTTCAGCATTAATGGTGCTGTCACAGCTGTGTTAAGTACCTAGCATTGGCACGAACACAGTCCCATACCATCGTAGATGCTGGCTTTTGAACTTCGCGTCGATAACTGTCCAAATGGTTCTTTTCCTCTTTGGCCTGGAGGACACGACCTTCACAATTTCCCAAAGCAATTTGAGACCACAAAACACTTTGCATCAGTCCATCTTAGATGAGCTCGGGCCCAGACAAGCCAGCGGCATTTCTGGGTGGTCATTGGCTTTTGCGTTTCACAGTAGAGATTTAAGTTGCACTTTGGGATGTAATGTCAAACTGTATTGACTGACATTGGTTTACACATTGATGTTGGGTTTTGATGCAGGATCAGAAGTAATGGACATTCAAAGTTGGTTTTACGCCTTGCCGCACGATTGGTTTCTCTGAACCTTTTGGTGAAATTTCCTTGCAATTGTGCATTGAGGAACATTGTCCTTAACACTGTTCAACTATTTTCTCATGCAGTTGTTCACAAAGAGGTGAACCTTGCCCCATCTTGGCTTGTGCATGACCGAGCTCCTTTTTTACCCAATTATGGCACCCACCTGTTCCCAATTGGCCTGTTTTACCTGGGGGATGTTCCAAACAGGTGTTTGATGAGCATTTCGCAATTTACTAAGTCTTTTTTGCCACCTGTCTCAGCTTTTTTAGGACGCGTTGCACCCATAAAATTTAAAGTTAATGATTATTTGCTGAAAAAAGAACAAAGTTTATCAAATTGAACATGAAATATCTTGTCCTTGTGGTTTATTCAATGACATATCGGCTGAGCATGTGATAATCATTGTCTTCTGTTTTCATTTATGTTTAACACAACATAGTAACTTTGTTGGAATTGGGTTTCTATAATGTGTTGGCTGTCTGGTTATTTATTTATTTATTTATTATCTGCTCCCCCCCCCCACCCCAAATCAACTTTCATTAGTTTCAGGTTGACATACACTGACAAAATGCTAACGAAAAGTGCATCTAAAAAGAGTTCTTTCTCACCCACCTAACCAGAGGTGAGCATCGTCTAAAAGTTTCCATCAGTATTTCAAGCCGACCCACATGGGCCCAGTCCATTACGCAGGCGCCGCACAGACACGCAAGCAAATAAAGAAAAAATAAAACACACACACACACGCACGCACGCACGCACGCACGCACGCACACACACACACACACACACACACACACACACAGTGATCTGTGAAATGAAAACAATGTGATACACATCATTGTATTCTGTGGGACTGAAAGGTAGACAACACTGTTTTCTTTTTTTATAATTTGACTGAGTGTCAGGTATGCGGCACCCGCTTGTGACGTGTTTCCGGTAAGTCCGTTTTCGACGCCATTTGGCTGACTCGGACCGACTGGGCAATCCTGAAATATCGATGAAAGCTCACTGAGAAATGACCACCTGTGGAACTAACCCAACTATGGATTTTACAAATTTACAATGCTTCGTGCACTGAGGCAAAGGCATGTTCGAACTGAAAACATGGCTTTTTCCAACTGTTCTGACCAAAGCATACATGATTCACGTAATATGACTCTGCTGGAACTATGGTGTACAGTATAGTCATCAAGATTTCTTCAAATCATTTGCATGCATCCCTTTTTTCGGGTGCTTGTGTCCATATGCTAGATTATGACATAGAAAGGATTTTAATCTAATTTAATTTATCCTTCTGAATATCAAATTCAGGTTTCGCTCTTGACTATAAAGATGACGCTGTGGAAGGTCTCTTGCCCCTTAAAACACAACTGGAAAACCCAGACCATTCAATCCTCTACAAGTCTTGCTCTGAGCTCACCAAGGTACGTTTCAGCACATATCCAGTCGATAACTATTGAATATATCTTTAATCTATCATTCAGCAGCAATGCTCTCTTACTCTGTGTTGCTTTACACTGAGTCCGCAATTTAATTAAACTGCATGTCAATGTAACCAATGTGATATCCCTGTCCATTTTCTAATGCACTTCAGGTGATGAGCAAGCGTCTGCCTCAGCCGCAGATGACCACATTGGTGTTCATGTTGTTTGAGGGTCTGGTTGACAGTCAGACAAACTGTTGCAGAGCTTCTTCTGTCATCCTGAACACATTGCTGAAGAATAGAGGAGGGGGACTGCAAGAGATGGTACTGCAAATGCTTAAAGCCAGCTTTGCTTTGATTGCTGCACACTGTACTTTTTGCTTCGTTTGAAAGAGTTGTGGTCTCATACGGTCTTAATTTATTTGCGCTAGGTACCAGAGATGCTGGAGGTGCTTCATGTACGACTGCAGAGCATCACTGAGGAGCAGGTTTGCTCTGGCAATACCATGCCATTTTAATTATTGCCTTTTATTGGGCAGTATTTCGTATTCACATTTCAAATGGTAACCAAACAATGCACGATTGTCTTATGCATGCAAATAACTTGTATGTGCATTTAGGTGAGAGTGGCAGTTGGGCAGACGGTGCTAATCATGGCCTCTCAACATCTCCAAACTGTTGTCAATACGCTAGTTAACCAACCTCTACCGTATGACAGGTAGTTATACAACAAATGATACCCTTTTTTTAAAATAGATGGTCACTACACACGTGAGTGCCATGAAAGAATTCATGCAAATACTTGGCAGCCCTTTGCCCCGCAGACTGTCTATATCAATGTGTTTTTTTATAGTTCTAGTTCTTATCTTTTCAGCTGGACCAGTGAGATGTGGATGGCTTTGGGAGCAGACCCCATCGTGGCCAGTCAAATCATAGAGATAGTGATGGAGAAACTTTCTGTCTTGGCGCCCTACGTGGACAAGAAAGAGTCACTGATCAGAGGAGGAACAACTAAGGTGGCTACAAATAAGCCACTTGCTGTAAGTGACAAGCACACTTCATGCTGCCATCACGGTATTGCAGTGCACGATTGTCACAAATGTGGGATTTGATTTTTTTTTTCTTTTCCCCAGATGACATGTGGTCTCAAGGAATTGTTATTAAATGGCCAGAGCCAGGAGCCAGCGCTAAGCAAGTTTTCTCAGCTCTTCTCCTGTCTCATTGTCAGACTGGCAGCTAGTGTTGGCGTGTCTGCACCAAAGGATAACTCCACCAAGCGCACGGCCTCAGTCCACGTTGCAGGGTTAGCATCATATTTGTCATTGTGTGTGTGTGTGCCACCTATGTGAAGCAGATTCTCGTGACGCATAATTTTGTCTTCCCTGTGTGTACAGAGTTGCGGCTGATGCGCTGAGAATCTTGGTAGCGAGAGCTCAGTTAGATGAGGTGTTAAAAAGACTCGAAGAGGATAAAGCTTGGGACGCAATGAGGGAAGAGAAGACGCACATCACTGGAGTAACGCTACTGGCAAGGTAAACGCATTACACTTTGTATTATCTTTTTTTCTTACAGGTAAATATTGGCAATTGATTCAGAGCGAATTGGTATTCATCGTAAGCAGGTTGAGAACCACCCATTAGAATCCCACATGAGCAATCCTTGAAAAGAGGTAATATGCATTGTTGGGTGCCCATCCGCTTCCTCCACTTGTTGGTCAGAAGGGCAACCGAATAACAATTTTTTAAAAATCGAAATTTTCGACAGCATTTTTTATAGCATTAGCTAATAATAGCATACGAGTATACAGTAGAGTAACTGCACCCTAAAAACTTGGGAAAGTAGATCAACTCCGAGTTTACCCTAAAACCTGATAAACTGCACAGAAAATATTTTTGTGACGTCAGAAGAAACGTCTACCAAGGTTAATTAAGATGCAATTTCCGTAAGTATATGTATGCTTTTAAGACTTCATGTTCTAGGGTTTGTTGTGTGAAACGTAAATAAACGCGTAACACAATTGTTTGCAAATCCTTTTCAATTGAATACACTACAAAGACAAGATATTTAATGTCCGAACTGAAAAGCAGTTATTTTTAACGTGGGGGTGTCTTGTAGTGTCATGTTTGGGTATAAAAGGTGCATAAGGTTATAGGGTATAAAAGGTTTTGAACAGCATTTCTCCATGTACCATTGCAAGGAATTTAGAAATTTCGTCATCTATGGTCCATAAGACAATTTTCAGAGAGTCTGTAGAAATCTCTGCTTGTAAGCGGCAAGGTCGAAAACCAACTTTGAATGTCCATGACCTTCGATCTCTCAGACGGCACTGTATTAAAAACATTTTTAGCATGTGAAAAGGATTTTGCCACATGGGCTCAGGATCACTTCCCGATAAAACGCTGCCATACAATGCGAAAACAATACATCAACATCCTGAAGCACTGGCGGTTTTTGTGGGCTCAAGCTCATCTAAAATGGACTTATGCAAAATGAAAAAGTGTGGCCTGACGAGTGCGCATTTCAAATTGTTTTTGGAAATCATGAAATTCGTGTCTTCCAGGCGAAAGAGGACCCTGTCGATTGTTAACAGTGCAAAATTCAAAAGCCAGGATCTGTGAGGACATGAGGGCCTTCTCAGACTTGTCGGTCATGACGATCGTGCTGTCAGACTACCAGATATAGCGTGTCTGTCGTGAACCGAGCGAGGTGTCTCGCTACAAGTCCATCACCGACCGGAACCTGCCCAATCGTCGTTTGCTTTCGTAAAAAATTAGTCCATCAGCGCATGTCCGTCGGGGAGGCGGAGCAAGCAGCTTTCAAAATCATGTCGACAGATGGGTTGTGTGTGTTTATTTTCTGCTCTGAAAAGCCAAAAAAGAAAAAAAAGAGACTTTGGGTCCGTTCCTGGATGGTGGGGAAGGGGCCGTATAGACTGTCTATTCGGAAAAAAAAAAAATGGAAGCGTCCCAGGTGCCAGATGGCCAATCATTGAGTCTGTCCCACTACACGGGCTACGACGCGTCAAGACAACAGACACTACATTTGTCTGCAACCCATCTGTCACATTATGAACTGCAAAATAAGACATTGGATACCCCAGACTGTTGAGCAACTGAAGTTGTATGTCAGTCAAGAATCGGAAAGAGCATGAGCTAAATTTCAACAATTGGTGTCTTCACTTCTCTAATGCTTATTGGGTGTTATTAAAAAGAGAGGCGAAATTGCACTGTTAAACATAACCCTGTCCCAGCTTTTTTTGGAACATATTGCAGGCATCTCAAATGAAAAATGAACATTTGCACTCCCAAAAAAAGTTTTATCAGTTTCAACAGGAAATATCTTGTCTTTGTAGTGCATTCCATTGAAAATAGATCGAAAAAGATTTGCCCATCTTTGTATTCAACTTCCTTACACAAGTTCATTTGAATTTGGGTTTGTACTACTGCTACTTGGACCACATTTATTAGTGTGATTGCTGCCAGTAATTGCAATAATGTGAGTTCTGAACAGAACAATGGGATTGGAAGTGTAGAAGCCTCTGGTTATCAATCCATATAAATGACAATTGGTACCGCTTGTTGTCTCAAGAATTAGGTTCTTTTCACCGTTTTACATTCCCCCTATACCTCCCTCTAACCATGAGGTCTCAATTCAGATCCATTTCTCTCATCAACAGAGCAATGGCGAAACATGCCGGTCCCAGGTTGCCCGCCATTGTCGAGTGTTTATGCCCTACCTTGAACAACATTTATGAGTGTCAGCGTATCACCGTCACAGCTTTCTTCTCTGAGGTGACAACGAGCGAGTAAAATCACATGCTATGCATTTTTTATGTGAAATCTTTTCATGTTTGCAAAATGTTTGAGTTTTTTTGGTTTTTTGAAAGTATTCTGAAATGAATGACTCTTTCTTGGTAGCTCCTGAACCATCACGTGGCTACGGAGTTGATGTTTATTGACGTGTTAATGAATAACATGATGGAAAGGATATCGGATCCATGCTGCACTGTCCGCATGTTGGCCGTGCGGGGTCTTGGAAATATCGCTGTCGGATCACCTGAAAAGGTACACGTGCATGTAAACGCAAGTGCGAACGCTGGTAAAACTGGTGCAAGTTCACGATTCAATGCCTTCTTCTCTGCAGGTGAACAAGTATGCCAAAGAACTACTTGCAGCCATGAGTTCAGGCATGGAGGAAAAAGATGACCCAGGTAATTGTCAGGTTGGACAACTGCACTGCAGTATGCGTGTGTTACGGGTATTTCCTGTTCTCTGGTCTGAGACAGTTAATAGCTCTCTCATCTCGGTCTTGGTTACTTTTCATAATGCAATAAAAATCTATGCTTTCATCTTTATAGCCACATAAGTGGTGCACGTGCGCATCAGTCATTTTTATAAAGCGTCCTCCACATTCATGTGTATTAGGTTTAAAGTTAAGATTCAATTGGCATAAATGCCGTGGCGGTAGTTCCTGCATTTGATCATTTAAATGCTAAAATTCCACAAAGCGTTCCGGTAGAAAAACAATGACATGTAAAAAAAAAAAAAAACAAGCCTGAGCTGGACAAATGCATATTTTGAGTTGCTCAACATGTGTATCATCAAATTTAGTGCTTAAAAAAGAAAGGTAACATCGAACTTCAGGTTGGGTTTATTTCGAGAGTGTTACAATAAGTAATTTGCATTGATTTGGTGGAATTGTCCACGTAATATGAATACTGTATCTAACGACATTGAAATACAAATTGATGTACTGTATACAGACGCTCTCCGACTTACGAACATCCGAGTTACGAACAACGGTCCATACTAACATTTTTACGGGTATGTCGAAAAAGAAAAGAAAAAGTTAGATTTTGTATTGCGCGCCTTTTTCCGAGTACAGGTAGAAGTGCTTCTTTCCGCCGCTAATACCGACGTGAGGCGCTGTGAGAGCTCGCCCAGCATCCACCCCGAATTCGGCTTCCTATGCCCAGTTGTTAAATATCTCGTGCATCCATTATTCAATATGGTTGGTGAAAAGCGAAAGGCTTCTAGTGAGAGTGGAAGTGTAAAGAAGAGGCAAGCCATTTCATTTCAAATGAAAGTGGCAATAATAAAGAAGCTTGATGCGGGTGAGAAAATGGTGAGCGTTGCACGTGCATACAACATGAATGTTCGACCATCGGTACCATTTGTAAACAGAAAGATCGCATAATTGAACACGTGAAAGGTGCAGTGCTGATGTAATCGACGATCATTAGCAAGAAAAGAGGGAAAATCTTGAGAAGAGAGATGGAGAAACATTCCATAAAAAATGTAGCACTGAAGCAACTTAGGAACGAATTCACCTTACGAACGATTGTTCGGAACGTATCTCGTTCGTAAGCTGGGGAGCGTCTGTATACATTTCTGTTTGGACATTGCTGTATTTTTGAAAAATCTGATGCACGCTCTTTTTTTCTTAATGCATTGCCTAATTATTGGATCGGGTTTCTGTATGGGCAGATACTTAGAACCAAAGACTCAGATTCTGTCCTGGTGATTAAAAAAACGTAATCGGGACATAACTAGCATAACCGCAACATGGCCGCCGAGGAGGCTACTTTTTTTAACACTGAAGCTGCAAAACCGAAAACACAAAGTGATGAGGGATTACTGTGTATGTCTGTATAATTTATTACGATTATTTTTTTCCTGAATCAAGGGGTCACTCAGTGTGGTCAGGGCGGGGTGCACGCGGTTTGCGATCTGCGAGTTGCCCTTTTCTGAGCTAGCGTAACACAAAATGTGTGCCACACATGGCGTGTCACAATAAACCAGTAAATGCCAGAATATAGTGTGAGATGCAAGAGTTTTTGTCATGTTTTTGGAACGTGTTCAATTGTGAATCTCCGAACTGCAACCCAATAATTTGTTGATTTGCCAATCGGTTCGGATGGTGGCCGTATCGCTTTTACACCGCAACCGAACCATATTTTCTTTGTCTTGGTTGATTAAAATAACAACTCATCCACTGTACCTGGACTAGATGGCACTGTTTCATTTTTGTTTTTGTTTTGTCTCTGATCTTTTGTGCAGGCAAACTGATTACTCTTGAGGCAATGTCCGGTCTCTCAAAAGTTCTTCTCTACCTGGATAAGAAGAATGTCCACCTACTGGTGGTTTACATTTTCATGAAGATCAAACCATTTTTAGAGAGTGTAAGTTGAAAAGCAATCTTATTTGAGATAAGATAAGAGATATGAGATAAGAGACATGCTAGACTGTGTTTGTGCGCTCCCAGGAGAATGACGAGATTCGCTGTGCTTCTATTCACCTTATGGGGAAACTGTCCAAGTTTGGTTCTGGCGAGCCAGTGTTCAAGGACCAGATACACAACGTATTGGTCAGCCTGCTTTTACACCTGGTTGATCCAAACCCACAAGTGGTCAAGGTAGGAAACACGCTGCCACGTCCATGTGCATCAACTTGTGGCACGGTAAACACGGAACAATTGTTTGTTCTACGAACGCGCTTTCATTTGTTTCCAGGCATGCAAGTATGCGATGCGTGTGTGCGCTCCAATGGTGGGTTCGGAGCAGATCACAGCCATGTTTCAGAACCACCTCCATGAGGACAAGAGCTTGCACTACGGGGAGTTCATCAACGATCTCACCAAGTATCTGGTGAGACAGACTGACAGACAAAATCTTAACGTACTCATGAAGACAGGCTATACAAAGGACATGGGCAGATTTTTCAGAATAGGGCAACGGTGAACTTGTGCTGTGTGTGTCCTTGGACCGACTGGCGACCAGTCGCGGTAGGGTAGAGGTAAGATCTTAAGCCCGAGCCTGGCCTGAATTTCGGGTTGGGTCGGGCCTAAAATGGCAATCATTGCTTCGGGTCGGGTCGGGCTCTCTCTCGCTGACTTTTTTAAAAATAAATATATGTTGAATGTGCTGAGGCATTTCGAGGCCGTGAATAGTTTTGGCCATGAGAGACCGTGGTTCGCAAAAAAACAGAAGTCGCCTCATCACAACACGTACTGTACTAAACTCTTGCAATGACAATTTAAAGAACTCCTTCCTGTCTCTGTCTATTATCCACCCGTCATTGTTCTTCTTCGTCTCTCTGTTTCTCTCTCTTAAAAGTGCCGCGCTAGATTCTTAAGGACGTACTGCTGCTGTGGTTTATGGCCCAATTTTCAACCTGTCAAAATGACGGATGGCCTTAAATTTTTCCCATCAACTCTTAAAAAAGTATGTCAATGATGGAAAATTGTCGGCTAATGTACCCTCTGTAGAAACAGAAATATAAAAGATGTAAATGTTTATACAGTCTTGTTTAACTTAGATTTTGTTACAGAAGACAGGCTTTAATTTGTTATCATAAATTACCCCTCCTCCTCCCGAGTCCTCACAAATAAAATAAGAAATTTCGGGTTTGCTTCGGGTTCAGGCCTGCAAATCAAGTTAATTGGTCGGGCTCGGGCCTGGTCGGGCTTGAATACCCGCGGGCCGGGCCGGGTTGGGTCAGACTGGATTTTTTAGGCCCGATCTTACCTCTACGGTAGGGTGTAGCCCACTTTTCGCCCAAAGTCAGCAAGGATAGGCTCCAGCTCACCCGTGACCAGAATTAGGTTGGCGCAAAATAAAATGATGGATGTTTTCAGAATGGTAGTCCATATTTGGTTTGAGAGTACTGTATTGGTCACAATCAATGTAGAAATCTCTTATCATGAGAATATGTTTGGTGTTTTTGTAGATCCAAGACTTCCCGGGCATGCTGAACTTCTACCACATTTCCGTTCTCCAGTTCTTCAAGAGCAACTGGTCTGAAGTCCGAGCAGGAGCTGCAATGTTCATAGGTCTGGATGCAGTAGTTCAGTCGCCGATCGCTCATCGACATTCTCTAAATCAAGCTCTTGTGTTTTTATGCTAATTTGTTCTGAGCTGCTAATACAGTATGTCTGTGTGTGTTTATCAGGGTTTCTGCTGGGGAACCTTCCAGAGGAGCATTATGCTCACCTCAACATGGGCACCATCACAAAAGGTGAAGCAGCTGTCACATATTTTCAATAGAACACAGTACTTGTTATTATGTGGGAATACAGTCCAGACCCACTGGCGATCTGTGAGAGAGAGGAAACCTTTTTTGGGGGGGGGGGGGTTTTCTCCTCCCAAAAGCTTTAAACCCATTTAGACTCAAAACAAACAAAGTATCCCTCCCTTAACAGTTTTCCTCACCCTCTCACCATTAAGAAATGAGACCTTCGTATAATAATAATACTACTACTTGGAAAAATGAAAATAAGACATTGTTCCAAAAATATTCAACCAGATCTATACTTAAAGGTCAAGTGTGAAGTAAACTTGGCCAACCATCTTTTGAGTAATACTTAAGGTTAAAACTATTTCAAGCAAACCACCCAGGTTTATAGTTTGACCCATAGCACCGCGCTGGACAACGAAAATGCTTTTGTTCAGCAATCTCCGGCAAGTGATGTCATTTACAGAATGCCGAGTCGCCAGTCAGCCAATGTACTGCATTGTTGATTGTCCCGTTAACTGCTCTTGGCCGTTGTTATGGAGTTATTCGGCGAAATGCCTCGGTGCGATGTACTGTTCACATTCAGGCAAACACTTGTTGTTTGAGTGGCCAAAAGAAAAGAAAAGAATAGGGCACGTAAAATGGACCAGAAAATTGGAATGATACAGTTTTGTTCTCGCAAAGCGAAAGAATTACACGCCAGTGTCACCCAGCGCTCTTTGCGAAAACAGAGGTCTTCGCAGTGCTTGTAACAACCGTTTTGCATATGATAAAGGATTTGCAAAAACAAGGTAGGTGTGATCATGAATGAATGACTCTGGCTGTTGTTCAGGAAGACATTGCATTCAAAAAGTTTAGTAGGGGCACTTCTCTGCCTCCTACTTGCTCTTCATTACGCTGCATCTATATCCAGTTGAGCTCGATGCTGTCCGGCATTTTGAGATGCAACACTGAATTCTGATTGACCTGTGTACACTGTAAGATCCCATTAAAAACGATTACTTAAAAATCCACACTATATTGAGGGCGCAAAAGATGAAACACCATCTAGTGGGGCTTCACTGTACTTAAGTATTTATCTTTAATGTGAATGTGTATGTGTATATTCCTCAGGCCTTGTGATGCTGCTCCAAGATCCCGACCCTCTGGTAAGAGTGAAGGCTGCAGAGGCCATGGGACATTTCCACTGATGCAAACATCGGCATGTCATTAAGTTGCTGGAAAGTGGCCGTCAACATGAAGGAGTCCAATGTTTTTGAATTGGTCATGGCTGTATTCCTGCGTGTGTATATATGGTGCACAACCGCAATCTGCAAGCCATCAATGACCTTATACAGGTGACACCACGTTCACGTTGACACCCTCCTGCACGCGTAGCTTTATTCACCGTGTTTTCACACTTCACTTATAGTACATAGAAAGTGTCCATTTCTATTTTAGCAACCAAAGACAGTAGTTTGTATCAGAGGCATGGCAGTGTCATACTGTATACCTGCCACACACATGCCATTTTTTTTACTATACATGGAGAGAATTATGTTTATAAGAATAAAAAATAGTTTCTTTAAATATCTGGATGACTCATATTTCTAAATACAAAAGTAGACTTTCACATGTGTCTTGGTGTGGGTGTTTATTTTAAATAATATTTCACGAGTACAAGTCTACAATTCACCTTTATATTTAGTTGTTTGGTGATTTCTTGTTTTTTCTGTAGCCAAGCTACCATCTGGTTACAGCTACTGGACTTTTTACATGTAAATGTGTCAACCTGGCCGATTGGGACCACATATTTCAGCTATGTCTTTGCCCTCATAAGAAATAAGCAATTTCCTCTATCAAAGTCTTAAGCCATCATGTCCTGAATGAACCTTGCTGAGCCGTTGTTGTTTTTTAATGATCTCATCACGTTTTATTCCCCAAGTTCATGCCATCACTAACTGTAACATAGGAGCCATTTGAGCATTGGTCCTGCAGTTCAATAAAATGTTACACTTCATAGAGGAAGTAGATGCACTACTGACCCTTTAATTTGAGAACAAGCCAAAATGTTCGCAAAATGCGCAAAAATGCCTTTTTGAGACCATTTCTGTCATCAACGTCACAACGAATGTCTTTTGTGTGTTTTTCTTTTCCCATGTCACTGCGCTCACACGTGTAGCCGGTTGTATCTCAGCCTTGTGAATATTTGATCGATCAACAGTTGGGATAGGGAGAGAATTTTATAAGAGGAGCGATTTTTTCCTCCTCTTTTATTTTTCTGTAGCACTTGAACATCTGCAGTTTTACCTTTAAAAAAATATATGCCAACAATAAAGGAGTTCCATTTTTACATTCCTAGCCTGTGGTCAGCTACTTAGTCAACTGAGGTTAGCCCTCCACATTAAAGCATAACTCACAGTACTGCAGTTGTAGGTAAGTTGATGCAAGCAGCTGTTCCTTGATCTGTATTTATTGTCATGGGATGTTCGGTGACGATATACAGTAATTATCTTCAAGCACTTTCTGTGTAAATGTAATTAGAATGAGTCTTTATTGTTTTGTAACTTATAAATTATGCTAATATGGCTTTTTATGTTTACTATCTAATGTGCATTTAGTACATTCCGCATTTTATCGGGCAACATTCTGTCTGTGTCTCACATGATGTCTTGTTGCAAATGGCTCGTTTGCGCGCGTGTGCGTGTGTGTGTGGCGGGGGGGGTCACTTGTCCTGTATCCATTGCGAAAAGTGTGAAGACGTTGTATAAATGGACAAATAAAGAGATGCATAAAGTAAGTTTGACTCTATAATTTTTTTCAGAAACATTTTATATGCAGGAAATTATTTTACTTTTCGACGGTTGCTAAAGCAAATTAACACCTCCAAATGGGTGTGCACTCACCGTCTTCGATTTATGTGCAATTTTATCGAGATCCACATGGGGGTGCCAAAAAGCCAGAGATATCGATATACTGTGTGCGTGTTGTAAGTCTCGCCATCCTAAAACTCTAGCACAGGGTTTCTTAACCTGGTTTCGATCTAACCCTTGGCCCTGGGGTTCGGTGAATCGGTCTCAGGAGTTCGACGGAGCCTCTGCCATGGAGGTTAAAACATACCCGACTCAACGTGTCAATTAGTTATGACACGCCCGCTTGTGCATCGCTGTCTGCAGATGATCACATTATTACTGACATTGCTTGTACAATCAGTGCCGCGGGAAATTTAATTCGTCACCGTGTGACTGTCGTGATAGTACGTCAGGGACGTGCGGTCAGGGGAGGCAGGTGAGGCAGAGCCGCACCTCTGAATGCGCATTGCATTGCACAATCATCACAAACTGGGTTGATACATGCAATTGGCACCTGCTGCTTGCCGTATATCTGCATGTCGCCAATATAATGTTTGCAGATACGTTTATTTGACCTGCTTTTCCACAGTCTGGCTAATGTTTTTAACCATTAAAGTTTAATGTTTTTTAGTGACATATTTAGATTTGCTGATGGGAAATAAAACCGCAGTGAAAAGGCGCATGTTGCGGCAGATAGTTCTCTGACGCAATTAAGAGGGCGTATGTGAGCAAACAGGTAAGTTGCGCGCTGTTCTTACGCGCAGAGGCACCAGGCGAGTCAAGTGCGATCCTTTTTGTAATTTGCTACGTCGGATTGCCAAAATGGAAGAAGAGGATTATATATCAAAGCTTAAAAACTTCTCAAAACTGGACTTTCAGTCAAAAGTGGACGTGATTAACACAGGTAGACCAACGCCGGAGCTAAAAGGTTTGCTTCAAACTACGGGACAGCCCGGACAGAAGATAACACGCTCTCTTCAAACGGAGTGGTCCACCCGAAAAGAATGGCTATGTGGTTGTCCTTCGAAAAACCGTCTTTACTGCTTTCCCTGCCTTTTGTTCTCAACTTGTGACAATGTCTGGACTAACACGGGATATTGTGACATGAAAAATTTACCACGAAGCCTCAGCAAGCATGAGAGATCGACCACCCACATTCAAAGCCAGATTGCTTTAAAAACTTTTGGAAGCTCAAGGATCGATTTGGCACTGAACGAACAGCGCAGGCTCAACGTTAGCATCCACAATGCCAAGGTAAAAGAAAACCGAGAGATTTTGAAAGACCTCATTAATGCAACATGCTTTTTAGCTAAACAGGAGTTGGCATTTCGTGGTCACGACGAGA